ATGATTTGAAATAATGTTTGTGAATTGTTGCCATATTAGGATTTCTGTACCTGTACTTTTATCTGCATCTGTACCCGAGTCTGTACCTGTAATTGCTAAGTAACTTAATGTACCTGTGACTGTAGCTGTACCGGTACATTATTGTTATTATTATTATTATTATTATTATTGTTATTATTATTATTATTATTATTATTATTATTATTATTATCATTATTAATATTATTATTATTATTATTATTATTATCGGTATTTTATATTATAACCATCATTCTTAATTCGATATTACTGTTATTATTATAAAGGCAATTACGGCAGGTGTCATTATCAGGTCGCCACACAGGTCAAACAAGGTGGTAATGAGTATATCAGAACCACGGGTGTCATGGGACGAGGTCATTAGCTAGGTCAGGGAGGTCTTAATGAGCATGTCGGTGCCAGAATAGGTCACTGAGCTGAGGTCAGGTAAGATCGAAAGAGAGAGAGAGAGAGACTGACGAACTAACTAACACCCTCAGGTGTACACTGGTGATAAAATTGGCTTCCCACCTGGTCGATGTATGTGGGTAATACTGATAACACACACACACACACTCTAATGAGTTTGATCAGGCGTGTATATTATATTATTTGTCATGAGTGTATGTGTATCCCGTTTTCTGTGGTTGTAGGACCGGGGGGGACACTACGATAATATATATATACATATATATATATATATATATATATATATATATATATATATATATATATATATATATATATATATATATATATATATATATATATATATATATATATATATATATATATATATATATATATATATATATATATATATATATATACCTGGTTACGTAACTTAATGAGGGGGTAATTTGGCCAGGTAATGTGACACTGTGGGTCTGGCATCATCACACTCTCCAATATGTGTGTGTGTGTGTGTGTGTGTAAATATCGGAATTCTTCACCATATCACACTCTCTCTCTCTCTCTCTGTCTCTCTACTCGCGGGTCCCGGATGCGTGTCGTCAAGTATGAGTTGTTATACCTGTGCGAGAAACACCTTTCCGGCCTTACCTGAACACCGGCGATTGTAGGCCCACTGTGTTTACTATCTATCTATCTATCTATCTATCTATCTATGCCTCTCTCTTCCTCTCTAGTCCCTCCCCGGCTGTCATTTTCTCCTCACTACTCCCATCTTCCCTTCCTCTTCCTCTCCCTCCTTCCCCCCTCTCCTTATTCCACCATTTTCTTCCCCCTCCCTCCCTGCCTCCTTCTCTTTTCCCTTTCTCACTCTCTCTCCTCCGCTCTCTTCCCCCTCTTCTACCCTCCCTCCCCCTCTCCCCTCCCTCCCTCCCCCTCTCCCCCTTCCCTCCCCTCGTGTCATCGCCGTGTGTGTTGACGCTTCTCATTGATCCATCATCCACCTCTCAGCCAGCGTTTACCTCCACAGATTCCCAGAGTGTGACACCTACCTGGCCGGGGTGGTAGGTGGGTGATGGGGTGTGTGAGGGGATAGGGGTGTGGGGGTGGATGGGTGGGGGATCTTACCTGACTCTAAAGTTGATTAGTCGAACGGGTCCTAGTCTAATAATAAGTCCCAACCTAACTTAAGTTAACATAATCTAAATTTACTCTATCTTAAAGTGATCAAATTCGACATAACCTATAACTTGAATTAACGCAATCTAATCTTAACCATTCCTTCTTTCATTCCTTCATTCATTACCTTTCTTTCATTCCTTCCATCATTCCCTTTTTCAGTCCTTCTTTCTTTCCTTCCTTCATTCTTTCTTTCATTTCTTCCTTCATTCCTTCTTTCATTCCTTCCTTCATTACCCTTCTCTCATTTCTTCCTTCATTCCTTCCTTCATTACTTTTCTTTCAATCCTTCTTTTCATTTTTTCCTTCATTACCCTTCTTTCATTTCTTCTCTCATTCCTTTTTTCAGTCCTTCCTTCATTTATGTAATCTTCCTTAACCTCTGGAGTACGTTGGATGAATGGCTACAACACTCGACCCGTGTGCTAAGAATCGTTGGTTCGTACTTTCATTTACTTTTATCCTCTCTCTCTCTCTCTCTCCATTCTGTTGTTGTACCTTTTCCTTTCTCTTCCTCCCCTTCTTTATCGTGTTATGTCTTGCGTTGTTTATTCCTTTACTTTTTCTTATTCTCATTTTCTCCTTCTCTTTTCTCTTATTCTCTTTTTTTCTCTCTCTTTCTCTTCCCCCTGTCTCTTTTTTTACACTTCTTTCTTTTTTTTCCTTTCTTTTTCTTTCTTATTATTTCTCTGTTTTTCATTTCCTCTTCCTATTTTCTTTATTACCTTATTTATCACTCTCTCGAGGTCTCCTAACTTCCCCTCCTCTCCTTCCCTCCCTACCTCCTGTTTGACCTCACTCACTCACTCACTCGCTCACTCGCTCACTCACAGGAAAAAATACATTATAGATTACTCTCTGTTATAGATTACTACAACATACTAAGTTCGACTTGATATGACCTCATTCTATTCTAAATTGATCTATAAGTTATAACTAAATTCAGTGTGTCAGCAGCTCTATACCTGTCCTTTGTCACTGTCACTCACTCACAGGTGGACAGAAATAGAGTTGCGGTTCTCTGCTGACCTGTTGATTTTTTTTTTACTCACTGAGAAAAGATTCATAAAAAAAACAGGAATGTCAACAGTTGAAAATGAAGCTGTGTGTGTGTGAGTGTGTGTGTGTGTGTGTGTGTAGTGTAGTGTTTATGGACCTAAATATCAGTGTTAATAATTCTGAACACCTGAAGTTAGAGGAAAAAATATGCCAGGTGTATTGAAAAAAATTTTTAAGTCTATTTCCCAACATATCATCATCATCATCATTATCATCATCATCATCATCATCATCATCATCATCATCATCATCATCATCATCACAACAAAGGTAACAATCAACGCTAAAACCTTTATCAACATGTAAGGAAACTCTACCATTAAAACATTAACACAGACGTGTCCTTAAACCCGCAGGAGAGAGAGAGAGAGAGAGCAAAAAAACAACAACAGGTTTATAACAACAATTACTGGCGTTTTAAGAAAGCCTTTGATGTGTGGACGAGGGTTGTGTTGTTTCTCGCCCACACAGTTGTTGTAGTCACTGTACAGCTCTCAAGGTCGGGGTATACTTTTTGTTTACATATTCTCTTTTATAACTATTGAACGAGGAACAGACGAAGGGAGAGAAAGTACCCCTCCCCTTACCCCTCACCTCTCACCTCCCCCTCCAAAAAAATAATTATTGATGGTTCTTGATGATGACTAAAGCTATTCCTCCAAAACATGTCCTCGTAAATAACTAATGTCAGAAGCAGACAAACACATTCCAGATATACAGACAGACACACGCCGACAGGAAGAAAATATGACCTCTCCCCTAGCGTCGATTTGTGTGTAGGAAAGTAATAAGCCATTGATTGTCGATGGTGTGGGCGAGTGTGTGGCCACTGCAAGACGCTGAACAATAATTATTCAAAAATTCCCATCAGTTGACAGGATTTACGAGACGGAAGTGAGGGTACGGCGGCGCTGTGTCAACACCAGAGGTCTGAAGACTCGACATGTTCCTCTATTGATCACTTACAGTAATGGACTTTAAGTGGACATAATGGGACGATATTGTGTGGAGGCTCTTTAGCGCACCGTATCACCGCCAGTCGTAGTTGGGCATTGTGGCACGACCTGGAGGCCAGACACAGGATAAACATAGGCCATGTAAGTATTGTGGATGGAAAAGAAGAACATTGTGTGGAGGACCTCAGACAAGGACGAGCGTGCGGGTCTGGTGTGGTGGCACAGAAGACACGCCATGGAGTGGGGCCGCGGGTAGAGCAAGACGGACAGTACGTGGAAGACCTTAGTGGTTGAAATGTAGTTGGTATAAGACATCTCATTAGCTGAAGACCCGATCCACAGATTATGTTAAGGTAGTGGTCAGGAGGAAGGAACGGAACACACGACACGGCCAGGAACATGCAGAAGGTGTCACCGAGCTAAGTACAACAACACGGTAGACACTCAACCCTCACAGGACCTTCTACCTCCCACCACACCCCCCGAAGGCGGTGCAAAAGAACATTTTATATATAATTTTTTAAATATTGCAAATGTGAGCTGGAGTTGGATGGCGTGGTGCTGGTATTGTAAGTTCCGTCTCCCTCTCTCTCCTCCCCCACACTCCCTCACCTCCCCCACACTCCCTCACCTCCCTCCACACAACTCCTCCTACTTGAGCAAGAGCTAATGGGCCGTGAGATGCCCCAACAAGGACCTCCCCGACCAGTCCCCGACCGAATTTATAACGAGGCTGTTAAAGACCGCTGTGGAGAGACGCATTACTCTCGGCGCTTCGACAATATCGGATTGTCTCGGAAGGTTTCAGACCGTGCTGATGCGAGAGGGGGAGTGGGAGAGGAGAGAGAGAGAGGGGGGGAGAGAGAGAGAGAGAGAGAGAGAGAGAGAGAGAGAGAGAGAGAGAGAGAGAGAGAGAGAGAGAGAGAGAGAGAGAGAAGAGAGAGAGAAAGAAGGAGAGAAAGATAGAGAGAGAGGGTAGAGGAGAGAGAGAGAGAAGGAGAGAGAGAGGAGAGAGAGAGAGAAGGAGAGAGAGAGAGAGACACGAAGGGTGAGGGTAAGTCGGTGCCAATCCGAGAGATCTGCTCCCCTCCCTCACCTCACATGCGGACGTGGTTATGAACACCCAAGTACGTGATTTCCGTCCCTTTCCATTAGGAATCAACTTCAATATAGAGGTGGTTTTACATGCTGGTAAAGCGATAGCGGCCGCCCGGGTTGGGATGTGTCGCGCTCTCCTATTGGTCGCTGGGTGTTAGCAAGGCTCGGCCCCCTGCCAATAGCTCCTCCTACTAGTCTCTGGCTCCGCCCCCTGCGACGCGCCGGAGATGAGCACAAGACGTTTCTTCTGCCGAGATTCATTCGCGGCCTGGACCTGGGAGGACGTGGCGACTGTCCTTCCGTGTCCTGTGTAGGCTCAGCCCCCCTACTACCCACCCACCCCAGACTCTAGTCACCCCCTCAAGGAACAAACCATCTCAACAAGACCTTGTGATCATGTGCCGTGAACTGTAACAGCCAGAGACACTAGAGAGAGAGACATCTGTTGTTAGTGCCGCGATAACTCTCCCAAGAACAAGGATAGTGGTAAATGTAAGAGAGTGCCAAGCTAGAGAGAGTGCCAGTGCCAATAACCGTTATCTGGGCAGCAGCAGGTGGGAGACGCTCAGGCAATGACGTCCCTGCTCTTCCCACCACAACAAGACAACTTAGGTAAGTCTTCGCCACTGTCGCCCTCCCTCGCCTCCCTCCATATAATTAATTCCTCCATCGTAATTTTAACATATCACAAATTCAACTTTTTGTGGTATATTTGAAGAGAGAAAGATTATTTTAACCAATTATTTAGGTGTGTTGAGGTGACATTACCACCACCATCACGTTAATGACTTTGTGCCGAACTTAAATTCTTACGACCCCGTGTGATGATGTGGTATGGAACTATATGACCTGCCCTTAACGATCCTAATAGTTGAATCACCTAAAGTTTGACAACAACCTTAGACTATGCAGCCACACCAGACACTGTGAGGGAAAGGGGGGGGGGGGAAGTCAGATATTAGAGTGAGATGACTTTAAAGCATAACTATTACACGGGTTAATTGAGCAGTTACCGTGCGTGTACAATTAAACTATTGCGGTTTTTTCTTCAATTTTGTTTGGCGGGTAATTGCCTCGTTCACCCTTTCCTGTAGTGTAGCGGTGAAATATATACTGAAAACCACATTGTCAAGCGTGTTCATTATTGTGTTCAACGATTAGGTGATCATTTGTTCACACGCGTTCACTCTCTACTGAACACCTGTGAACAATGATATAGTGTGTGAAGCAAACAATACACACATACACACGACACACACACACACACGACACACACACATGACACACACGTACACACACACACACACATGACACCGGCAGATTACACACCGCGAATTGGTAGCGACGGAAATGTAATTGGCGCATAATGTCATTTACTTCCCGCGAATCGATAAGGTGCGTAATTGTGACCCCGGATTAGAGATTGAGGGAACTCGTGGCCACTTAGCGCTCTGTTGATTATCCCGCTAATGTACACCGGCTGTTTATCTACTTAATACCTGCCCCAGACCTCGTATTTAAATGTTGTGTCGTTGTGGAGATTATGTTCGCTTTTACCTTCTGTGTTTTTTCTGGGACCATTTTGTTGTTTTTTTAATGGTTTTTTTTTTAACATTTCCCAGATTTTTTTGTTTTTTTTTTATCTTTGTTTTATATTTTTGGTTCAAGAATGGGAATGTTATTTCTATCTTGGTTCATCTATGTGTGTGTATGCGTCTGTGTGTGTGTGTGTGTATGCGTCTGTGTGTATGTGTTAGGGAGTTGCTTTGTATTGGCTGTTGTTGCTGAGGCTATACAAGGTCAGGGTTCAAGGGTTTTATTCTATCAGGGTCCAGATCTTCAGGGAATTGTAATCTAAAGAACTGCATTGAAATATTTATAGAATTCCTTTATTGCTTTCGGATCACCTGAAGATTCACCCCCCATCCCACCTCCCCCCTCAGCTTATGTCATTTGAAGATTAATACACCTTAACTTAACCCTCTCTCTTAAGTATAGCATTGGGGTGGTTAATCTTCAGGTGAGACGTTGTTGAATGATTCGGTGTTTGAGGGACCGCGTTGAAACGTCTTGGAACTAATCAGGAATCTTACTGAAGTATTTAGTCTTTTCAGAATCTGTTGTGAATCCTTATAGCGTTTCAGGGAGGAGGGCGTTGGAGTGCTTCATTATCTCAGGGAGTGAAGCGTGGAAGTACAGTAACCTAATCATATCAGGGACGAAGGGGAATTAGCCAATCATTTCAGGGTACTACAGTAAAGGGTCCAATTCCCTAGGGACAGTAAATACTATGAACAAAGTACTGGCTGCCTGAAGAACAAATATCAATGGAAATTACTTTTCATTAATAATTTAGTTAACGTAATTAGTATAACTTTCCATCAAAATAATTACAGTATTATTAATCGGAATTATTTTTATTAACTCAAATTATTATATAATTTTCTAAGATATATTCTGCATTTTAATAATTTTGTGATATATAACAATAATGTATTTAGAATTGTATTAATGTCAGTAATTCGTTAGTAAAAATTCAACGGATGTATTCAGAAATGTGAAGGTATAAAATCATTCGTCCAAAGGTGAAAATACATCACTAAATCGGAAATACAATAGACACTCGTAAATGCAATAACAAATCCTTCATACAATAGTCGTAAATACAATTCCAGAGGATCGTTCGCACTTAGAGTAATCGACGTTTCAGACTTCGTAAAGCCTTTGATTGGTCAGCTTTGTGGTTAGGAGGAAGTGACCCGTAACAACTGAAATTCAATGTGTATATAGTTAGTTTACGTTATGTTTGGTTAGGTTAGGTTAAGTCAGGTTAATATTCTTCATGATGGTAGGAAAAATTTATATTAGACTGTAAAAAATTAGACTGGAAATTAAACTGTCGGACAAAGACTGAAACAAAATAGAATGTAGAAATTAAACTGTCGAGCCTAGACTGCATGGCTTCGAATCATTGTTTTAGATATTGAACTAAAGAGGTGATCGAACCATCCAGCTTTTGAGAATTCGAGTAAGTGCTTCGGATTTGCGTGGATTTAGCAGATATTAAATGGTTGGTTGATACAGCCATGCAGGGAAAGGATTCAATGGTTCATCTGAGTTTCGTATCATAGATTTAGTGGTTCAATTGGGTTCAGTTTCAAGGATTAAGTGATTCAAATGGGTTATATTGCCCAGGGATTTTTTTTATTATCATTGTTTATTATTTTTCGTAAAAGGTTTCCAAGTTTATGTAAAAATAAAAGAAATAATAAGGAAAATATTTCACGTTATCGTAATTTTATGTATAGGATTAAATTGGTTCATTGTTTAATTGGGAATATTTATTTTATTGTAATTTTTTGTATTATTGAAGTTAGTGATGTTACAGTGGCTTGTTTTCAGGTATCTAATTGGTGTCTAGGAATATGTCTGGCTGGTGTCTAGGAATATGTCTGACTGGTGTCTAGATATATGTCTGGCTGGTGTCTAGATATATGTCTGACTGGTGTCTAGGAATATGTCTGGCTGGTGTCTAGGAATATGTCTGACTGGTGTCTAGATATATGTCTGACTGGTGTCTAGGAATATGTCTGGCTGGTGTCTAGGAATATGTCTGACTGGTGTCTAGATATATGTCTGACTGGTGTCTAGGAATATGTCTGGCTGGTGTCTAGGAATATGTCTGGCTGGTGTCTAGGAATATGTCTGACTGGTGTCTAGGACTGACTTGTCTAACTGGTATCTAAGAATTATGTCTTGTAGAATATTTCAAGTGATGAGTATTTTTTTTTCAATTACCGGTATAGTTATTTCTTCTTCTTCTTCTTCTTCATCTTCTTCTTCTTCTTCTTCTTCATCTTCTTCTTTTTCTTCTTTGTTCTTCTTCCTCATCCTCATCAACTTCTTCCCCACTCAATATTTTTTCTTCTACCACCACCACCATCATCATCCTCCCTTCGTCTCCCTTCGTCTCCCTTCGTCTCCCTTCGTCTCCCTTCAACTAACACCTCCAAGACTCCAATCACTCCCTAACAAATGCTTCTTCTCCCCAAAAACAAAAACAACTTTCTATCTTGGTATGTAAATAATAGCCTATTGTTCTTTTTATTTTTTTTTTGTTCTTAGACTTTTGTGACCCTCGTTCGCTTGTTCCCTAGTCATTAAGCTCAATTTCATCAGTAAGCTAGTTAAGGGGGGGGAGGGACAGTGAGGGGAGGAGGAGAGAAAGTACACCTTATCGATTGTTAATTTACAGCTGACACCTGGCAATTAAGGTGATGTTTTGGGCCGGTGTTTAATACAATCGATTATTTATTCGGTTTAAGGTTTCTACTTTATGATTATTTCTACGTGAATTTATTAGCTGTATTTACGTGTATTTATATGAATTTATTAGTGGAGTGACGTGAATTTATTGGTATATTTACGTGAATTTATTGGTACAGTTACGTGAATATATTGGTGTTTTAAGTAATTTGGTTTATGGGTGTTTTAACGTGAGTGGATTAGTATCTCTGCCTGAATTTATTACTATATTTTAACGTGAATTTATGTGTATTAAGTTAGTATCACAGTATTTTAACAGCGAAGTCATTACAAAAATCATTAGGTCAATTTTTTTTTTAATTTATTAGAAATTTATTAGTAACTTTTTAAATACGTGAATATAATAGTATTTCTCTTTTAACTGAATGTATTTATGATTCATACGTGTATATTTAGAATAGAGTTACGTTAAATTAAGACCATTTTCACGTAAATTTATGACTATCATGCCAAATTTATCACCCCCTCTTACGTGAATTTAAGAGCATTTTTACGTGAATTTACCGCGTGAGGGGTATAGTTACGTGTAAATAAATGTTGCATACGACTGATTAAGCAATTTGCGTCCCAAGTGGCGCACGTATTGGCGGTGTGAGTGACGTAACGACCCCGGTTGGTCATTACCTTGATAACTGGCTTGTTTAGGTGGTAGTACAGTAGGTTGTAAATAATAATAATGCGAGGTGATGTATGTAAGGGAACCAGCGGCCACAAACCCCCTAAAAGAGAGAGAGAGAGAGAGAGAGTAGAAAACATATATAAACATAATTAGATGAAAATATAAACACGAGTACTAAACATGTTAACAGACGGTAAGAGGTGGATAGAAAAATATAGAATAGTGATAAAATAAAATCTATAACAATGGATTCAACTTAAGAATAAAATCTTAGGGTGGAAATAAAAAAAAATTCTTAATTATATAAAGTAAAGAAAAGCTTATGTCAAAAATTATAGAAACATTTAATATATAAGAGCTATAACAAACACTCAGATAATTCAATAGAAATTATATCTCTATAACAGATATCAACAAGTATAAATATAGATTATAATACAAAAAATAATTAAAGGCGACACATGAACCTAACCTGAGACAAAATAAGTTATATCTTTCTCTCATAACCACAATAGTTAAGCAGTTGCATGACCTCTTAACTATCAACAATGCAACAAGTCCCTTTCATCATCTTTTGCAATCAAGGAGTCAGACACACACCCACACACTCACACACACACACACACACACACACACACACACACACACACACACACACACACACACC